CCGATCCACTACAAAATTAAGGATTCTACAGTTTAAAGTTTATTTGAAATTCGAAATTTCACAACATTTCAAGATTCTTGAACATTTCACAACAGATAATAGAAGAGCATGATCTAGGTGACGAGAAATTTTTCAGTGAGAATAGCATAGTAATGAATGGCAGATATATAAAATGAAGTGAGTTAAGAACTGGTGGGAAAAAATTATGGAAGCATATGACTTTCCTAGCCTCAGTTCTTAGGTTAAGAACTTCAAGGAACATCCTGTTATCAAAGATAATCTTCAGGATCGAAATGAAATGTTGGCATATTAAAAGCACAAAAGAGATATATTGCAGTTCACTTTCTCGACAGTCATTATGATCTGTTCTTCAGGTCTACATCTTGATACACTTGCAGCATCTGTGCTATAAAGGATTGAACAGCGCTGAACAATAGTAATGAAGAAATAGAATCTAAAATCTTGTTCGTCACAATATAATGTATAGTACTATGGATCAAATAAACACTTACTGGTCCTCACATCATCGTCTCCTGATGTTCTACTGGTTTGCAGATCAGCAGCAAGACTGCCCTGGCTTCCATGGTAGAGCTCAATCTCTTGCTTTTACTCGGCTTCTAGTCTACCTTTTAGTTTCTACACAAAAGGACCTGTCCAACCATTTTCCATCTTGCACTTGGCGAACATATAGAACATTAGCTTATTGTTATCTGTCTATTCCTCTATTCTTGAAACCTGATATTTAAGAACTTGGTTTATTTCTGAAGGTAGGCAGTGGCACCTATATCTGGTCGTAAATCAATCACAGCTAGGACTTCTAACGAACAACAAGAGAAAGAAGAATGTGAAAGGGCAACCTTTTTTCATAAAATGTAAATTTACCCTTTTTTTTTTTTTGCATAAATGCAGGTTAAGGGACTGCCAATAATGGCATAATGAAGTTCAAATAATCTAATTCCAAGAATATAACAACTTGCAATATATTAGTGTGAAAAGTCATCAATTGGATAATTAGAACTCTTGCAGTGAGGCAAACTAAGCCCTGCAACTGCTTGAAAATGCATTAATTAACAGATGAATCTAAAACTTATTGAACTGAGGTTGACTGGCTAACAATCTTACAGTCAAACCCTAGTAATTGTCATTCACAAGTGTCCTTCCATAAACAAAACATATGGTTCACTTCACAAGCAAGAGCTGGTAACATGCAACATCCGGTGGGAAAAAAATAAAATAAAATAAAAAATTAGAGTTGAGAATGAGCATTTCAAATACTTGAGAGTTTGAGAATGTACTCACAACAGAATGAATTTATAAGCAAAGTTGCATCTTGAAAAAGATACAAGTGTCGTATCTCATAAAGTATCAATGAATTCTAGGAGGACTCAAGGGAGCTGAGGGGGAAAAACTGTAAAGTGATTTTAAGCTCAGTGCTAGATCTGCATCTTAGTGGCACCAGCTTCTGATAGCAATGGTCGAAGATCTCCTTTACGGTGTAACTTGACAGTATCTACAGCATGAAAAAATAAGAAAGAAAAGGATATTTCGTGTTAGAAACCGTGATTAATGTATTGTTAGGTTCAATCATTCATATGATCAATGAGTTTTTATGAGTTCAAAATAAAGTACTACAGGACTGCAACCAGACCAGTGGATTGAATGTCCATTATTAAGAAACAACATTTATTTCCCAGTCCCAAATTGAAATTTGCTTGACTTTGCTCTGCAATTAATAAAGCATGCCAAATACAACTTTGCTTACGGTTTTCACCTCAACTATCAATAATTACATCTCCTAATGGAGGTTGTTATACACTTAATAGTGATACTTACAACATTTTGGAAATAAAACACTTCAAAATAATGAAGGCATAATAGAAATCTAGAAAACTACTATTTGACACAAGAACATTGAGGGACAAACTGAAATTGAGAAACGAAAATTCAATTTGGGAGAAAGAGCTGTGAAAATTGACTATAGCTGAGATTTAAATGTTTTGATGGATTTGCAGTAAAACGAGGATTAGAAATGAGTATATATATGAGTATTTCAAGGTAAGTGTTATTGAAGTTAAATTGTGGAAAANGATTTGCAGTAAAACGAGGATTAGAAATGAGTATATATATGAGTATTTCAAGGTAAGTGTTATTGAAGTTAAATTGTGGAAAAATGTATTGAGATGGCTTGAACATGTAGCTGATAAAATGGAACCCAAGAAGGATCTATATAGATAACCCTAGAGTCTAGACAAGCATATGATACGAATGTGCTAAATCAAGACATATGTAATTTTTTCATTTGGAGATTGAGGAATTCTCTATTCCTTTTACGAATATTTTGGTAGTCCGGCATCATATTATTTTTTAACATAAAAAGATACTGAAAATTGGAAATTGAAAACCATATTTCATCCAGGAAAATGTGAATAATAGAACATAAAAGATTATGTTGCAAGAAACCTATTAAAAGATGGAGCAAGTCAAAGGAAAATTTTGAAAAATTTAAGAAACTCGTCTACAATAACCAGTCGACTTACAAAGATAGGATATAAACAACTATAAAGTGGCATAAAAATTATTATTTTCCAGAGCACATGGGTAATAACTATTTTGATATTAATGTACTATTATTTAACAATTTTTCACTCATAAAATTTGCACATATAATGTGTAGCCAAGTATTCAAATTTACTAGCAATTGTCATCTCAAATAATCTATACTGATTTCGGCGACGGTCCTCAACATGAAAAGCTTTGTGTTTTTTTTTTTTTTTTTTTTTTAACATCGAAGTAAGAAGTTATTTGCTGAAACTATAGCATAAGAAGTTGAGAAGAAATTTTTCGTTTTTTTTTTGGAGAAACTATACTTAGAAGTCAAATTCAATATCATAAGGATGAGCACTGTCAGAAAAAACACCTGTGCAACCACCAATGTGTTTGCCACCTGCCCATGAGAAACAAATATTAGTTGTAATACTCTTCTCAATCATATTTGATAGAAGGGTAACTTTGAAGCTAAAATTGTGTGAAATTAAAACTTAGTCTTATTTTTTTAACCCAAAAAAAAAAAAAACACATAACATCTCTCAATCGGCAACCAGATGTCTTTCAACCTATTACCAACGGAACAGTTTGCAACAACATATCAGGTCAATTACATCTCTTTGTGATACGATGATATAAAGATCTAGCCTATATCTAGGGCTTTTCAAGGAACATAGTTATTAGTTAGTAACTTGCAAGTTAAGCAAATAGCATAAAGTTATAGTGCATAGAAAAGTGAAATTATATATGTTAAAAGCTCTAAATTAATGTGTCACAGAAGCGTAAAGCATTTTTAAATGCTTCTTACCAATAAAAACATTTGGAACAGTATGTTGTCCAGTTAACCTCACCAGAGTCTTCTGCAGTTGTGGTCCTTGGGGACCTGAAAAATGAGAAAAATTTCTTATAATGGATGTTCATTGAGTTAAAGGTGGAAATTAGGTCTCACACCTGATTTCATATGTCTTTTCCAACAAAATCAGTTATAAGATCTGTCTCTTTACGAATAAGGATTAAACAACATAAAATCAGCATGGTTCCCAAGAAAAAGAATTCAAGCAACCAACCCCTAATTTGTCTATAATAATTCTCACTTTTTTGTAGTTGTATTAGAAAAACTAAGCATTTTCATATTTTAGAACTCCTAATAAAGTCTAATAACAGACCAATTTTGCTTGAAGCAATTTTGTTTAAAAAAAGATCTAATTTTTAAACAAAAGCCAGTGTTCAATGTCTTTTTTTCTTTTTATTCTCTATATAAAAAATTTAGAAATCAGTTAGAAAATTGAAGTTAGACAAGAATATCTGAATAACCAACTAAAACTTAAAAAACCATCATATATGTAGGAAACGTGGTTCAAGATCGGTTTGGCTTTGATCCATGGGGAACTCATTTTCCAAATAACATCAATATTATCAAAGAACAGCAGTTTACCTCTTCATTTCTATAATACAGACACTATGAATAAGGTGTTTTTGCTGTGATCAACCCGGACTACAACTCAGCGATTGCACATATATACAACAATCAATAAATGGCAGTTACGCCCGGAATGTTTAGAGCCGTGCAAGTGTTCTCCCGAAACCACATCACATCCGACCAAAATTTGCAATGTTCTATGCACAAATACGCGCACTAATAGGATTTATGAAGAAAAGAAAAAAAATTAAACTTACCCATTTGGTCCAATTCAATAACGAGCGGCTCCACGCCAAGCCTCTTAAACAATGATTTCACCTCCGAAGAGTACCTAAGCCACAAAATTCAAACAAATCCCTCTTCAAATCTCTTGGAAACAATTTAAATATGACAAAAAATGGAATCCATTACACAATTTGCTTAAAAAAAAATAAAAAATATCAGTGAGCACTTACGAGCACCAAGTTTTGGAGTAAACAACAACTGGATTCTCAATCACAGTCTTCTTCACACTTTCCTCCAATCGGGACCCAAATGAGCTAGATGACATGGACCGAATATTAATAAACCCCCAATTTCTCGATATGGCTTTACCGGACATTGTTCCGCCACCAACGTCACAGTGAAACGTGAAAGTTGTAACACAATTGGGAAGCTGGGTAAGAGTGGGAATTCGACTTTGAAGAAAGCTAGTAGAGGATAGAGAAAGTGAATTGAATCTCCCAATGGTGAATTGAGGCATGAAAACCATTAACGCCATTTTTTTGCTGTTAATTTTATGTTATCGAAGCCGTTTTTGGCAACTTTACCGCTTCCTCTCGCCAATGCTGCTTGGGCAGCTGCGCTGCTCACATTATTCATTTGTGATGGCGTCACATTTACTTATGCCCTGTTTGACCCCCATGTTTTTCAAATTTTAATAGTTAGAATAATATTTTTTTTAAATATGTGGTTGAAAAAGAATGAAAAGTTTTTTATTTACGTGTAATATTATTTTATGAAAAATTATGTGATTAAAAATAGGAAAGAAAAAAAGAATAAGAATGAGAATGAGAGCCAAACGGGGGCTAAAAATTAATTGTATTCAATTGACACTTTCACTGACTTTTTGAGATTTAAAAAATTTCGAAATACTCAATATAAACTTTTTAAAACTCTCAAAAACTAATATATTTAATTTAGACTTTTATAAATTTTTAAGAAATCTCTAAAAGTTACGACGTGTTCAATTGAGACTTTTAAAAATTTTCTAAAAATTACGTATATTCAATTAAAATTTTTTAGAAGTTTCTATAAATTTTAAGGTATTTAAATTTTAATAACTTCTAGAAATTTTTATAAAATTCTTTGGAGTACTAGCTTTTAAACAAAAGTACTCATATAAAATCTCACAATTTGTCTTTCATTAATCACAAAATTTTGGGAGATTTTCACAAATATATATATATATATATATATATATATATATATATTTTCAATCTTTCTTTCCTTTTTCCCTCTAGAACATTAAAAGTATGATTAAAATTTGTTTTTTTTCTATTGATTATATTTATTTCCATTTATCTTTCTCTCTCTCATTCTTATTTATTTTTATTTTCTATGAAAAAATTAAATTGAATTCTTATAACTTCTTTTTCATTTATTTTTTGTGAAAAATATCTTTTTTTATTAAATTCTAAAATTTTATATGAAAAATCTATAATTAAATTCAAATATATTGATTTTATTTATTTATTTTTAAAAGTATATTATATTGATAATATTAAATATTAAATTTATTATTTATCATATATATGTAAAATTTTGATTATTATTTATTTAATTAAGGTCTTAAATTTTTATTCTTTCAATTTTTTTAATTATATGGGAAGAAGTAGGTGAAGGAAAAGGGAAATTATAGAAACCAACACCTCGTATGTTATAATTTTACACCACGTGAATTTTATTTTAAATGAAAGTTTTTTGAATTCTACAAAAATCTATAAAAAATTTAAAATGAAAGTTCATAGAAGTTTACGAAAAATTTTCATTAATTTCATACAAATCTATAAAAGATCCAAAAATTCACAAAAGTCATCAATTAAAAAAAGTCCATCAAAATCTTCAAAAGTCCTAATTGAATACCCCCCCCCCCTCTCATTCTAACCGTGGAAGCTATAAAATTATTAAGGATTTAATTTTTTTTTTTTGGAATAATTGTAATAGAGGCCTCATATCTTTAAAATATTAGCAAATTTTTTTCAAACCTTTAATTTGTTGCAATCATCACCTCAAATCTTTTGAGACATTGCGGTAGAAGCCCTTTTGGATAATTTCCATCCAAATGTCTGTTGGATGATTAAGAAATTTGACTTTGATGATATTTTTAATAGTTTTAAAAAGGTAAAATAGTAACTTTTCATTTACTACATTAAAATAAGTTAAAAATTAAATTCGAAAAAGAACAAAATAAAGAACCTGAGTCCCTATTCATCTCCCTCTCTCCGCTTCTCTACCCCGTCCCATCCCATCTCACTCCTTAAATCAAACCAAATCGCCATCTTCCACAGCTATCACCACTCGACGCTACTGTCGGTGACGGCAACTTTCCCAACCATTTCATCTTCTTCCCCAATCCCGTCCTACCTCTATCCGCACCCATTTCATCTTCTTCCACAACTCTATGCTTTTTCCCCCCTTTTCTTTCTCGCTTTTTAGACAATCAAAGTAGCCAACATTAGAAAGATTTTCTTTGTTTGAGTACACTGTCTCTTTCTTTAGGAAATTTCAGGTTGACATTATAGTTTCTTTGGTAGGATTGAAAATCAAACTATTGCAGCCTCTATGCATTTGAATTGGGAAACAAATTCAAGCAATGCTATCACTCTGGGATTTAAAAATGGCTATATGGAGAAAATGAATTAATTGTAAGTGACCACAAATTATATTCTAGTACTTCGATGAAATCATTTTTCAAGGTTAATCGCCTGTGAAAAGTTGAGAGATTCAGTTGGAAATGCAGGTTCTATCGCACATTTTGTTGAGACAGTGTGTGAAAACAAATCATAGTGGAAGATATTACAGAGATTATGAGGACAAAAGATTGTAGTTGGAGGTGGGGATTGGTAGAGGATAGGGTTGTGGAAGAAGATGAACAGTCACCTTATTTTTTATTTTTAATAAATAATTACTTTTTTGCCCCTTTTAAAATATAACATATATGGTCAAACTTAAATTTTGGGTCAATTGACAAAAAAATGGATGGAAACTGTCTAAAAAGGCTTCTACTGCAATGTTTTGAAATGTTTGAGATGATGGTTGCAACAAATTATAGGTTTGAAAAAAGTCTACTATTGTTTTAAAGGTTTGGGGCTTCTACTGCAATTATTCCTTTTTTATTGATGCAAACGTACGTAACAATTAAAATTACAGAATTCACATCAAATTATATCAAACCCAAGAAAGTCAAGAATTAACATTTGAAAAAAGCTCGACCTAATAAATTATTAATCAAAAGAATCAAGACAATCGCAAAAAATATCTTGGCCAGTGATCACAAAACTTACGAATTTTACTTGAATCGTTGAACACCACAAGAAATTAATCCTTAATTAATTTGAAAATTCATTCAATGAAGAACGAGCAGAAAGCAAATATGCCTTACAATAATATGTCTCACAATAATATGTCTCAAACTATGTGTTTTACAATGAAAAGTGTGAATCATATATATAGGTAATTTATAAAAACCTTAGTTAAAATGGAATTAAATTTAAAAAAATATCAAAAGATACCAAAAAAATAGAGTTTTTACTAAAATATGAGATTACAAGAAAATTTAAAAAGCCACGCCCTGGATAACTCTATGAGGCCGCATAAGCTAAACCGAGCAATTGCATAGGCCAACATGAAATTTGGTTTTTAGTCTCGATATGTATCTATGCAATCACATGCATAGAGACACTATGCGGTTGCATAGGGTAACTCCTAGACTCCTTCCTTCACTACTTGAATCAAGTTGATCTATCGTGTTTTTTCTTCTGAGCCCAACATGAAATTTGTCTCTTTGCTTGTTGTGAACGATGTTTCGTTCACTGTAACTTAAACAAATAATCCCATGACTTCTTTGGCCTTCTTGGCTCAGGACCTAATCATTGGTCCTTCATCCTCAACCAATGGGTCCTTGTCGTTGCTAACCTTCGTACCATGAATCTCATCATCTATTATGGTCTAATTAAATAAATAAATAAATAATTAATTAAATCTATGTTAAAATATATTAAAATTTTAGTGGAATTTGACTTTAAAGTTTGAGCAAATCCAACTTCTAATTAAAGAGAATCTACTGGATTAAAAACAAATAATAAATTAAGAGTATCGCTATTTCCATCCACAATATTTATATATCTATCTCATTCTAAGTTTATCCCAATTAAAATTTATAGCTATGCTACATGTGGGGTCCACTCCCATGTGACAGCCCCGTACAGACCTTGCGCAAATGGGTCTATGCAAGGAGCTTTTTTCTAAAATTTAAGCCTTTGTTTGTTAACCATTTTATTTCATTATTTTTTTTACAGTACTTATTTTCAACCACAAATTCTTCATTAAAATAATAATACACATAAATAAATAAAAAATTCTTCCTTTTAAAACTCACATTTCAATATCAATTACTATTCAATAATACACTTTTTCAAATTAAAGGGCACAAATAGGGCCTTAAAATTACTATTTACATCTACATCTACATCATATTTAAATATTATCTTTATTAAGGTCCCGTTTGATAACCATTTTGTAAAAATGAGAATGAAAAATATAGTCGTTATGGAATCCACACAAAATATAGAAAGTCAAAGATGATTGCTTAATGTGATGAATAACGATCATAATTTTCATTTTTATGGCAAAAGAATGGGAATGAAACAGGGGCTAAATTCATTCATTTAAATAATAGACATCCACACCACTTTTATATATTCATCTCTAAACGCAAATCTAGTTGAGATTTGCTGTCCAAAATAGACCGTCCAATTGCTATCCATCCAACTATTCATTGATATATTATTTTAAATTAACGTCCTACTTTTCTCTCACCGTTACTTGTGCTTTCAAATATGTATAAAATGATGTATCAATAAATTATTGCTAGACAGCACGTTGAACGATAACAAATCTCAACTCATTTAAATCTATTCCAATTACTGTGTGAGTTCACTGATGACTCGACTTTCTGCACTTCCCCTTCTTCCTTGAAAGCGGCTCAGGCTCCGACTTAATTTCACTCTTTGATGAATCGCTACTCAAATGTTTTCGAACCAGACCTTAATTTATTATCCTCTTTGTTCTCTTTTTCTTCTTCAGCTTTCCTTGTAATTTCATTCTCAGATTCCAAATCCGAAAATTAGTTTGGTTCCCTAGGAAGACTAGGAGTAGAATTCTAAATTCAGTTCAAGAGCAATTTTATTTCTTTCTGGCACTTAAGCCTCCTGAACTCTTCAAAAAGATTTTCAATTCTTAATTATAGAAATTAATTTATATCATCTAGATCTCCAATACAAATGCAAGATTGGAATGTTTTTATCTGTTATAATAATAATTAGTGAGAATTATTATTACTTGTCGCTTAGTCAATCAAGTGAAATCATACAAAGGAGATATGATTTTGAAATATTTTGTTTTCTAGCCTTTTAAACTATTCACAAATTTAACCTATCATCTCTCCACGTGAAGCAATGTTTACAATGATATAGAATCATATGTCCCCACCCATCCTAATGGATAATTTGTTGGATTTTTTTTTTATTTTACCGTGCAATAATTTATATTCAAAATAATCTTTTTGCAACGAATAAACAATTGGACAAAATTTTGACTTATATTA